GGTCCTAGCCTGTTCAGGGCTCAGACTTTGCCTTGGCCTGTATAGATCCTGTTCTCAGACTAGGCTTGACCTGTCACCAAGACTTGGTCTGTGAAGGTCTCCAACTTGGTCCTAGCCTGTTCAGGGCTCAGACTTTGCCTTGGCCTGTACAGGTTAAATGCTTGGCCCAAAAATGTGAAATATAATCATTAGACGTTTCTTACGTCTAAACTGACAAATTTTACACTGTAAGGCTGTAGGAACACCTGTGTGCTACTTAACATATCAACAAAAAGTGTCCCACGTTGTTACATATCTATCATTCACATTTTCACTGAACTGGAAGTTATTACTACTAAATGAATTAGCAGATGTTTACATTCACACAGGTTACAAGAAGATTGAGGATATATGGCACATTCACATGACATAATCTCCACATTTCAAATTGAAATACAAGAAAACACACAAGGCAAACACTTAGAGTGTCTCCAAAACCTGTTAATATTTCTGTATGAGACAGAATAGTGGTGAAATTTCCTTATTTAATTGTTCTATGCAAACTGACGTAATACTGAAGAGGAGTTCTACTCAATCTTCTAACTCAGCCTTACAGATTTAATATAAAGACAACCAAGGTGCCTTATATGTAGGGCTTCAGATTTTATGGGACTTGACTCGATGACTTTTATTTCAATGGTAGATATTCCTTATACCACAATAAACACATCTATATGTCACCCTATTACTTTTACTACTAGGGTCACCTTCTGTAGATACATATTTATGAACTACTGCTCCAGATTTGAAGGATTTTATAGACTTCAAGGTCAGTTAAATTATCTCGTAAAACTAGATAGATATATACATGTGGCAGAAATATCATTGAAATGCATGGTATACTGTATAACTGTCCCCCAAAAAGTTGTATGTGTGGTCCATAAAAATGGACTTGCCAATTTGGTTGCAAAATCTGGTCTCTTTAACAGGTAAAATTGTCTTCAAACCCTTGTCTTTTCCTATTTTTTCAGCTTTTATGATATTATCATTCTTTCTTTAAATTTCTATTATGATTTAACATAAATACATTGAAATCTTACATAAAATATGTTTATTAAAAGAAAACAAAAAGAACGTCATTTTGTAATTTCTCCCCATCATGACTGTTAACATTCTGCAAAACTGCTGATAATCATGACCACATTATAAGCAGCACAAAGTTCAACACAAGCATCCATGTTTATACCTCCGCTGAGCGACTTTTGTGTCTTCCTTATTTCATCTAATATACCCATCTTTTTCAATTTACTTTGTTTTCGAAAATTCCCATCTTTCTCCCCAGGCTTCATCATGTGATTAACAAACACACTTAAAAATGCCACATAGAGATAACATGTTATATGTAATGAAATGTATTACTAGGCCTGGAAAGAGTGACGTCAAAGAAAGGTTGATCAACGTTAAGTTAACCTGATCGAGACAAGAAGCTCTGATCAACAGATTTAGGCCAACATATCTGTAATTACATAATTAAGTGATCGTCTGTGTGAAATATCAAGTATATTCTATACAATAAGCAAATCGCTAAGAAAAACAACTCCACAAGAATGTTATTCTATACTATACAAATGTTGAAACACGATTCGACCCACTTTATATTGTAAGCTGATACATTACGCAATAGTTATTTAAACTGATCAATATACTAGCTATTCATCGTAACACAGTAAATGTTTGGTGGTCAAATATTGTTCTTCCACAGGTTAACACGATACAATATATAAGTGATAGTTAAATATTATCAAAGGTCATTTAGGTAATGAAACATAGACATCATAACTTTGCTTAAGTCTTGTCTTCGGAACATGCTTTATAGAATTCTCTTGTCAAATTGCAATTTATTTTTATGGCATCTTGAATTAAGTCTTTAAACTTAATTTTTTCAAATTATCTTTATGTCTCTGTGAGAACTTCCCGTTCTCATGTTTTTTCATCAAATGTAGACCATACCTGAAGTCACTGATTTGATGTCAATTAGTAAAATGAAATTAACAAAATTCTTGATAACTCAGCTTTTGTGCCAAGGGAAGTGTAGCATTTACAGATTAGAAAATCAACGCCATATTGATTAAATTTGGTCCTATTTACGACGGCTACACAAAGAGAGAGATTTGTTAGAGAGGTTTTACATAACCTTAATCCCTACCTCTTACCAAAACCAATTACCAGTGAAGTAACACTCACACAGCCATGAAAACGGGTAAACAGACTCCTCTAGATCTGTTAGAAAAACATTACGCCATCTTTGTCGGTTATTGAATCACAAGAATTTGTTATTAAATTGGAAAAGTGATTGAAAAAATACACAGGACCACTTTCACAGGTTTGCAATGAATTTGGAGTATTTAACAATAACTTATCATTGATAAGGTGAAGACAAACCCTCCACCTTACTGACCAGAACACCTTGTCTATAACTAAATATTGGTTTATCATTAACAACAAGAGTATACAGTTTGGCTGGAACCACTAGTCTATAGTGTTAGTATAAAACTCTAAGCTGAGAAGTGTGCCAATATTTGTGCTGTGAAGACCACCCCAAGAACTGAATTTACCCACAACAGACTTAGACTATCTTAAAGGGTCAGTTCTGAAAGGCTAATATAATCAAGTATAGCTGTCACCACTACCAACTCACACTAAGGTACACATCCAAACTTGTCCTTGTCATCTTGTATCAAACCATTTCTGTTGTCATGGTAACTAGTCTGTTGGTATGGAGATTCCAAAAGTATCTAGAGGGTATATACTATCCATAAATACTCACACAACAAACTGCATTCATATAACAATGAATACAAAGAGATTAGTACTTTGTGGGAGATTTTCCTCTCATTCCATACAAGAGGCCAAATGGGCCTGCATTCTCACCTGGTATTCAACAGAACGATACAAACAGCATGGTCATAAAAAACACAACAACCAACAAAAGCATTCATTGAGATATCACTACAAAGAGATTAGTATTATCTTAGAAATGTTCATCCTGCCTCAAATAACATATGACCATTGAGAATCAGTAGCATTATATCTAGAGCACTAGTGAGTGTGATCACAGCATTTTCAAAATTAATGTGCTGAGAATTGACATGCTACATTTGATAGTCTACTACTGCAGACAGTACAGGTTTATACACAATATACAATGATCAGTCATCTAATACAGTCCCAGAAATGATGTTTAAAATGTGTTTAACATGTTTCTCCAATCATAAGTTAAGTTCTAATGTTGTAACTATATGGTGAGAGCTTAACAAGAGGCCCACAGGGTCTGTGTCGCTCACTTGTCTTGATGAAATTGCTTAATCAAGATTAAAAGAAACAAAATTTTAAAGGTTTAGCCCCAGAGAGTCAGAGAAACTTCTGATACAAAATTACCCTTTACCCAAAATTAAATCAGACTAAATTGGGAGAGACTCCTATCATTCCTACAGAAGAGATTTATTAAAATTTGCTCCATTTCCTCTTTTGCACATTGTCCCTTCTTCACTTCTTGGACAAGAACATAAGCTTACACAAAATCAATTTTCCTTCATCCAAAGATACTTCAGACCAAATTGGGACAGAATTCTGTCATTCCTACGGAAGAAGGAAGATTTTTCTGTTATTGGTAACCACATCCCCAAACCCAACCCCCTCCCATCCCAGAGACAGAGACTTTTTTGTGTATACAAAATTAATTCACCCCAGCATGCCTCAAACTGAATTGGGAATTCGCTCTATTTCCCCTAATGGGCCCTAATTCCCACCGATGGAGATGAGACAGCCACCGTCAACACAAATCTGATTCCCCTTCACCCAAGTATGCTTCAGACCAAATTAGGAGAAAATCCTGACATTCTAACAGAAGAAGAATTTTAAATCATATGCTCCATTTCCCTTATAGGGGCCTGTCCCTCTGACCCCGTGGGGCAGAGATGAACTGTTTGTATAAAATTGAGTCCCCTTCCCCTCAGAATGCTTCAGACCAAATTTGATATAATATATCCATGTCAAAGATATGGCTGCCAACATGCTGTTTTAATGATAATGGCAAATTGGGACATTTCCAACAACCTCTCTCTCCTCCCTCGTACAATTGAAGGATGGAGCTAAAAAACATACACAGAGTAAGATAAGTCAGCATCTCCTTATAATGTATATTATGTGACTTTAATTAAACCCTATCAGAAAAAACAGCAATGTAACACTTATTTATAGTATAAACATGCATCAATGTAACAACATGTGCTTAAATATTTTTATTCTAATCACCAGGTATGTTGTACCATTCCTGTATTCAGAGGCACCATGATTGTGATTCAAAAAACGCTTCAACAAATAAACAGCTTTATCAAATAAACAGCTTTATCAAATAAACAGCTTTATCAAATAAACAGCTTTATCAAATAAACAAACACATGCACACAGCACTATGTGAAAAACCTGGCTTGTAATTGGTTTTTGTTTAGAATAGAAAAAAAAACTATCGTTAACAATCAATTGTTTGACTCATTGCTATATTTATCACCTTATAAATATGCTATTGACATCTTACTACTCAGACCTATCGTTACAGCACTAGCCAAGACATTACTTTTACACATAATGGATTCTCCTTCACCCAAGGCTGCTTCAAACCAAATATGGGCAAAATCCAATCAATCCTACAGGTGGAGTAGAATTGTAAAGAACTGGTAACCGTCATTTTGGGCCCTGCCCCTCATTCCTCGGGGGGCCAAACCCCTTGATTTATATAAATTTGTCCTTTTTCCCCTAAAGATGCTTCTGTCCAAATTTGATGAAAATCTGTTTAGTTGCTCATGACTCATTAACAATATTTAAGAGAAAGTTGAAGGAAGATAGATGACAAAGACAAACTCTGCTCACTGCTCCTTCAGGCCAGATGAGCTAAAAACTGACCCTGTTTTCATTTCCATTAAATATATATCAGAAACAAATTACCATTAAAGATGTCTTACCTGGTTGGTATTATAGTTGTCATGGAGATGTTGATAAATACATGTAAATCCACAATCACCACTAACAACTGACCTGAAATCAAAGAATGAAAATGGTAGGTATATATAAATTAAAAATTTACATATAAATGTACGAGAATAAACTATGGAAATGAATGAATGAATGAATGAATGAATGAATGAATGAATGAATGATTGACAAGTATATCAACACATCAACTTGCCTGAATTTTTTTAATTTTATCAAGAAATGTTTTAACTCTCCTGGACTTACAGACATATGCCAAGTGTCCTCTATAATCTCCAGCTTTTTTTTTACCTCTGTTTAAACTGTCATCCAGACATCTTTAGTCTACCTAAGTATGTCAATATTTACCTGAAAGATGTGCAGTGAATATTCTTTTCAATTTTTATTATGAAGCTAATATATTCTTACAATATGGTTGAACATTTCTTTTCAATTTACTTTGCCACCCTGACTTAGGATACTCATACACAGGACAAAGCCCTATAGAAGTGTGCATATATAATTCATTGCCAAGGACTCCACATAATACCTGCATCCCCTATATAAATAGTACACCCTCCTGTCACTGTTAAACTGTGTATTATCAAACTCGTCAGACAAAATTCAATTTCTCCTTCATTGGCATAGCTCTGTTGCAGTTTGAGCTGATGCCATTGAAATGCATTTGTAAAAGTTTAAAAAACTAAATAGAGTATATGAGTGGTGTTTTGCATTTTAATCATTCTCCTTGGTAAACACATTAGAATATATGCATTACTTATACCTGTCACAGCCGTACCTTACTGGTAATACCTGTCACAGGCTTATGTTTATTTTAAATCAAAATTCATGTTAATTCCATATAAAAATATTGTGTCATCAAGTCAGAGGTACTGTTCTAACAGGTGTTACCTATCACAGAGCAAATTCTCTCAATAGTTTAAGTACTGCAAAATCAGTATGAACAGAGTAATGTTCTATCACAGAGCAATATTTGTACTGTTCTATCACAGAGTAATATTTGTACTGTTCTATCACAGAGTAATATTTGTACTGTTCTATCACAGAGCAATATTTGTACTGTTCTATCACAGAGTAATATTTGTACTGTTCTATCACAGAGCAATATTTGTACTGTTCTATCACAGAGTAATATTTGTACTGTTCTATCACAGAGTAATATTTGTATCACAGTTCTATCACAATATTTGAGTTCTAATATTTGTACTGTTCTATCACAGAGTAATGTTTGTACTAATATTTGTACTGTTCTATCACAGAGTAATGTTCTATCACAGAGTAATATTTGTACTGTTCTATCACAGAGCAATATTTGTACTGTTCTATCACAGAGTAATATTTGTATTGTTCTATCACAGAGTAATATTTGTACTGTTCTATCACAGAGTAATATTTGTACTGTTCTATCACAGAGTAATATTTGTACTGTTCTATCACAGAGCAATATTTGTACTGTTCTATCACAGAGTAATATTTGTACTGTTCTATCACAGAGCAATATTTGTACTGTTCTATCACAGAGCAATATTTGTACTGTTCTATCACAGAGCAATATTTGTACTGTTCTATCACAGAGCAATATTTGTACTGTTCTATCACAGAGTAATATTTGTACTGTTCTATCACAGAGTAATATTTGTACTGTTCTATCACAGAGCAATATTTGTACTGTTCTATCACAGAGTATCACAGAGCAATATTTGTACTGTTCTATCACAGAGCTATCACAGAGTATTATGTACTGTTCTATCACAGAGCAATATTTGTACTGTTCTATCACAGAGTAATATTTGTACTGTTCTATCACAGAGTAATATTTGTACTGTTCTATCACAGAGTAATATTTGTACTGTTCTATCACAGAGTAATATTTGTACTGTTCTATCACTGAGTAATATTTGTACTGTTCTATCACTGAGTAATATTTGTACTGTTCTATCACAGAGTAATATTTGTACTGTTCTATCACAGAGTAATATTTGTACTGTTCTATCACAGAGTAATGTTCTATCACAGAGTAATGTTCTATCACAGAGTAATATTTGTACTGTTCTATCACAGAGTAATATTTGTACTGTTCTATCACAGAGTAATATTTGTACTGTTCTATCACAGAGTAATATTTGTACTGTTCTATCACAGAGTAATGTTCTATCACAGAGTAATATTTGTACTGTTCTATCACAGAGTAATATTTGTACTGTTCTATCACAGAGTAATATTTGTACTGTTCTATCACAGAGTAATATTTGTACTGTTCTATCACAGAGTAATATTTGTACTGTTCTATCACAGAGTAATATTTGTTCTATCACAGAGTAATATTTGTATCTGTTCTATCACAGAGTAATATGTTCTATCTATCACAGAGTAATATTTGTACTGTTCTATCACAGAGCAATATTTGTACTGTTCTATCACAGAGTAATGTTCTATCACAGAGTAATATTTGTACTGTTCTATCACAGAGTAATATTTGTACTGTTCTATCACAGAGTAATATTTGTACTGTTCTATCACAGAGTCTATCACAGAGTAATGTTCTATCACAGAGTAATATTTGTACTGTTCTATCACAGAGAGTATCACAGAGTATTTGTACTGTTCTATCACAGAGTATTTGTATATCACAGAGTTGTACTGTTCTATCACAGAGTAATATTTGTACTGTTCTATCACAGAGTAATATTTGTACTGTTCTATCACAGAGTAATATTTGTATTGTTCTATCACAGAGTAATATTTGTACTGTTCTATCACAGAGTAATATTTGTACTGTTCTACACAGAGCAATATTTGTATTGTTCTATCACAGAGTAATATTTGTACTGTTCTATCACAGAGTAATATTTGTACTGTTCTATCACAGAGTAATGTTCTATCACAGAGTAATGTTCTATCACAGAGTAATATTTGTACTGTTCTATCACAGAGTAATATTTGTACTGTTCTATCACAGAGCAATATTTGTACTGTTCTATCACAGAGCAATATTTGTACTGTTCTATCACAGAGCAATATTTGTATTGTTCTATCACAGAGTAATATTTGTACTGTTCTATCACAGAGTAATATTTGTACTGTTCTATCACAGAGCAATATTTGTATTGTTCTATCACAGAGCAATATTTGTATTGTTCTATCACAGAGCAATATTTGTACTGTTCTATCACAGAGCAATATTTGTACTGTTCTATCACAGAGCAATATTTGTACTGTTCTATCACAGAGCAATATTTGTACTGTTCTATCACAGAGTAATATTTGTACTGTTCTATCACAGAGCAATATTTGTACTGTTCTATCACAGAGTAATATTTGTACTGTTCTATCACAGAGTAATATTTGTACTGTTCTATCACAGAGCAATATTTGTACTGTTCTGTCACAGAGTAATATTTGTACTGTTCTACACAGAGTAATATTTGTACTGTTCTACACAGAGTAATGTTCTATCACAGAGCAATATTTGTACTGTTCTATCACAGAGCAATATTTGTACTGTTCTATCACAGAGCAATATTTGTATTGTTCTATCACAGAGCAATATTTGTACTGTTCTATCACTGAGTAATATTTGTACTGTTCTATCACAGAGTAATATTTGTACTGTTCTATCACAGAGTAATATTTGTACTGTTCTATCACAGAGCAATATTTGTACTGTTCTATCACAGAGCAATATTTGTACTGTTCTATCACAGAGCAATATTTGTATTGTTCAGTCTCTGGGCAACATGTCTATTGACCTCATCTTCATTTCCAGACAAATTCTACACAAGTCATTTTGAAGGCAGTGTATGTGCTACAAAGTATACTCAATAATTAAGGTCTAACCATGTAACAACAGAAATGGACCAAATTTCTTTTAATTTATATTTTGATGACCTCAAACCTGTGAAAAAGTGTTGGTGCACTTATCAGTTCAAATATGCAGTGTATGTACATGTTTTTTACATAGTAATTTTTTTATGAACAGAGCTCAAGGAAACTCTAATAAATTGACAAAGAAAATGCCCATTAAAATAGTTAAAATACCTGGAGGTGCAACACTATAGCAGAATCACAATGATATAATCCCCACTAATCACGCCAAAGTACACAAATATTGATTTCACTTTAGATAAGGAAATAGACTTGACATTTTCAGATATCAGGTAAAGCCAGATTAGATTAAAGTTTCACGATGACATAATGGTGTTCTTCTACAACAATGAAATTTTACCTCACAATAAATCACAGAATTAAATCAGGTAAGCTAGGGTCTAGAAGAAAAGACATGATCAGGAGATTTAAGGTATATCTCAGTTTTCCCTTGAAATAAAAGGTAACTGTATCACTGTATTTCTGCAGCATTAATAGACTTCGTACTATGGCCCGATTGACATTTATAACATGACATCAAGGGGGATAACTCTGGTACATAGTATTGATTTTTTTGTCGATGACATTGTCAATATTTGTATAGATCAGCTTGACCTATTGACAGCTGTCAATGATGTCTGCATGAGTCTTCTCTGAAGTGTGTGCCTTCCGAGAGGCATATCACAAGTGAAAAATATGATACTAAAAAACCAATACCACTGTTTATTAAACTCATAACTACTATCACAATTAAAAGGATTAATGAAAAAGTTACAGTGCCCCTGCTGAGATTCGAACCCGAGACCTTCTGCTTACAAGACCCTAGTAAACACTCTCCCATACCACTAATAAAAACTTCCCTTTAATTAGGAGTATACTATTAAACGTGATCAGCTGTATTATCTATTTTCACAGATTATACATAAAAACTTTAAAAGATGCTTCCATCATAAAAAAATGAAGTTTATACATGTATATAGAGTAACACTGTTAAGATATCAACACAGAAAATCTGTAAATGTGTAGAAGTTGATGTTACAGATGGCCTTACAAGTCACAGCTAGGGGGAATCTCCCTTTAACAGTAGTGTCCGGCTAAAGACCAAAAGGTTGCTAGTTCAATCCCCACCAGGGGCATTCCAATTGTGTTTACATTACTCC